ATAGTGACCATAACTCAAAGTCATTATGGAAAGAGAAAAGGCTAGTGTAGAAATTAAGTGTCTAAACTGGGGGAAAACCAATTTCAGTATCATTGGATACGGTCTGTCAAACATAGATGGGAACAGCTAGAGTCATAACGTCATAGAGATGTACAGCACAGAAACAGACCCTTCGGTCCAACTCGTCCATGCCAACCAGATATCCTAATTTAATCTAGTACCATTTGCCAGCATTTGGCCCATATCCCCAAAACCCTTCCTATTCATATAACCATGCAGATACCTTTCAAAAGTCGTAACTGTACCAGCCTCCACCACCTCCTCTGGCAGCTCATTCCATACACCACCCTCTGCATGGAAAAAGTTGCCCCTTAGGTCCCTTTTAAATCTTTCCCCTCTCACCTTAAACTATGCCCTCTAGTTTTGGAAACCCCCACCCCAGGGAAAAGATCTTGCCTATTCACCCCATCCATGCCCCTCATGATTTTATAAACCTCTGTAAGGTCACCCCTCAGCCTTTGACACTACTTGCAGGTAAGTCTACATTTGTAAAGTATTAGTGTTTTAGAAGTTGCATAGTGAGAATTCAGGCCCAGTGTGTTCTTCTGAGATGAAGGGAAGGGCAGCAGGTCCAGTGAATCTGGATGTCAAGGTACAGAGAGTTTGTGAAGAAAAAGGAGGAAGCGTGTCTCAGGTATAATGCATTAAAAACAGAGGCACCCCTTCAAAAGTATTGTGTATAGGAGGTTGCTTGAAAAGGAAATTAGGAAGGCAAAGAAGGGCCACAAAATATTTCTGGTACATGAGATCAAGGAAAATGTCAATGTGTTTTATAAGTATATTAAGATTCAGAGGCAAAGGGTGAGACCTATTCGCGACTGGTACATGGAGCCAGTGGATGGGAGTAAGGTCTTAAATGACTACTTGTCACTTGCATTTACAGATGAGAAAGATATTATAGCCAAGGATTTCAGTTGGGATGGTGAAGTTCTAGAACACATTAAGATTAATAACATGATGGTTTTAAATGTTTTAATAGGATGCGGGTGCCCAAATCTCCAGGGCCTGAGGTGTGTCCTAGGCTTCTTTGGGAGGCAAGGGAGGAGATTGCTAGGGCTCTGGTGATATATTTACTACTTTATTGGTCACAGGTGAAATGTCAGATAACTGGAAGATACAATACATGGTTCTTTTGTTCAAGAAGGGCAGCAGATGTAGGCCAGGTATTTACAAACCAGTAAGTTCGACATCAGTGACAGAGAAATCATTGGAAAAAATTCTGAAGGACAGGATTAAGCAATACTTGGCAAGTCAATGATTGACCAAGGATAGTCAGCACAGATTTGGTAGAGGGAGATCTTGTCTTTGACTAAATCCATTGATGAGGGCGCGCAATTGCTGTGGTTATCATAGACTTCAAGGTCCCACAAGAAAGGCTGCTCCAGAAGGTAAGAGCCCAAGGGATCCAAGGCAACTTGGCAAACTAGATCCAGAACTGGCTTACAAACACAAGAGGCAACAAGTGATGGTGGAGGGTGTTTTTGTAATTGAAAGCCTGTGACCAGTGGTGTACTACAGGGTTCGATGCTGCGGCCCTTGCTATTTGTTATCTACATTAACAATTTGGACGTGAATGTCAACAGTATAATTAGTAAGTGTGCAGATGACACCAAAATTGGTGTTGCTGTTGATACCGAGGACAACAGTCTTAGGCTAGAGTTTGATACTGATCTGCCAGTAAACTGGGCAGAGCAATGGCAGTTGGCATTTAATCCCAATAAGTGCTAGGTGATGCATTTTAGGAGGTCTAATAAGGGAAGGACATGAATGGTAGTTCCCTAGGAAATACTGAGGATCAAAAGTCCCCTGGTGTACAATTCCACCGATCTCTGAAGGTATCAGCACAGGTGGACAGGGTTGAAGAAGACATGAGATGCTTGCCAACATTAGCCAGGGTTTAGAATACAAGAGTAAGGAAGTCTTGATACAACTTTATAAAACATTAGTTAGGCTACAAATGGAATAGTGTGAGAAGTTCTGGTCACCATACCATTGGAAAGACGTGACTGTACTGGATAAAGTACAGAGGAGATTCATCAGTATGTTGCCTGTGATGAAAAGTCTCAGCTATGAGGAGACACTGGACAGACTGGGTCTGTTTTCCTTGAAGCAGAGGAGGCCGAGGAGGGATATGATTGAGGTATGCAAAATTATGAAAGGCACAGACAGAGCAGATCATGACAATTTCTTCCCCATGGCAGATGTGTCCAAGACCAGAGGGCATAAGTTTAAGTTGAAGAGAAATTGGTTTAGAGGAGACATGAGAAGACAGATATTCTCACCACTTAAAATATCAGGGTATATTAGGCTATAGACCCAGTGCAGGTAAAAGGGATGAGTATAGTTCGGGGTTTGTTGGTCAGTATAGACATGGTGGGCCAAAGGGCCCGTTTCTATGCTATCTGACTCTACAAAATGACACCTTGAACGTGAGGATTCATAACCTTAAAGACAATCTAAATGGATGCTCTACCATTTGTTACTCCATCCTTTTTGAATTTTCACTGCTACAGTTCACCTACCAATACCACCACAAATATTTCCTCATCATAGCTGTAATAACCATAAAAATTTGTAATGAGATTTTGTGTCAACAACAAAGCATTTACCATTAGGAAGCTTACAAGGACAGCCGACAGGAAAAACAGAACTTTGAGAACATCTTATAGACTAGCCCATTTTATTTACTGCTCATGGCCTGAAACTAAAAAGGTGATCTCCAGTATTCACTCACTGCAGCCAATTTACAAAAATTGTACAATTATGCTGGAAGTTGATCGTCTCATAAATTTACATTATATCTGCATTTGTCTGAAACAACCCACAACCTTTGAAGAAAAACACTTTTTGTTGCATGCTCATGCTGTTTCAACTTTTCAGCTTTGGAATTAAATCAAAGCAAACAATTCAAGCAGGATATGAAATGCAACGCATGAAATCAAGCAATCATAAGGCAAACAAAGCTCCCAAACTAGAATACAGCATTTCATGCTCAAGTGCAGTCACAGATGGGCTTAACATACAACCATACTCACAGCTTTACACTTCAATTTCATTCATTTCCCAAGCAGCGAACGCTCACAGGAAGTAAAAACATGAAAACGTTAAGCTTTCAAATCCTCAATCTGCACTCTTCTACTGCAATTTAGTTGTTAATTATTGACAATATTTAACCAAAGTTTCTTGCCCACCTGCAGTATAACCTAAGCCAAAATGAATTTCTCAAATGTAACTGTATTCAACACTGGCAGATTTTTAAGATATAAACAGCAATACCGATAGGGATCTTTGTAACGGTGATGAAATCCATTTTCTGTATCCAATTGTACCAGGGAAGCCAGCATTCTCCGAGAATGCAACCTTCAAAACACATATGGTTCTAAAAATTGCTAGGTAAAGACATTCAATTCCACACAGCAATAGGGAAGAAATTTAGTGCAAGGCTTCCAATAGAGTTCTCAGGACAGTTTGAGAGTCACAGAAGATCAGTTCAAAAGATTAGAGACAGGGACTGAAAGTCACCGAGTTGAGAGACAGAGTGTAGATTCCATGTTAGAAGTGCTGTTTTTTTAGCTGTGTTGCAAGAAAGGCAACGGAACCACACAGATTCCATATAAAACATTCAGAGAGAAATCAAAAGCAGTTGGTCTTCCAAAGAATTGTCATACAGGACTCAAAATGTGAACTATTTCTTCCCCGACAGATGCTGCTAAATCTGTTTAGTTATTCCAGAATTCTGTGGTTGTTTCAGATTTCCAGCATCTGTAAATTTTGCCTTTTTACTTTTGGCATAACTTGTGTTGCTATATAAAATTATCACCAAATTCACTGATGCCGAGAAGTAAATCAAACTGAATAAATATTAAAAATCTAACACACCTTTGAAATGTATTTAATACAAATCTGATTGTTAAAATTGCATGGGAATTAAATGAACTCCTCCAAACTTCCTCATTTAAACCAATATAATTTAACCTGAAATACAATGTGAACAATACTGCAAAATTGATAGTAATGTCTTACAGACAAGTATGACACAGCAGATTGCTGTATCAACAAACTACACTCGGTTCCACAAATAGAAAGCTTTCAATACTAAATGACATTCATATCAGATAGTATGCAGAGGGAAGATATACTTTCAAATAGCTAGAGAACACAAGGTGTATGGACAGCATGAGAAAAGAAAGGATGTCATGGAGCAGATTAATTCTGGTCAAATTTACGTACATTGTCCTTAAGTTTTAGAGTGGTCCAGTAACCATGTGCTTAATAGCATTCAACAATGGAAGATAATAGATTTTAAAATGAATCAAGAAAACTAGATGTAATAAATGTCACGTGTCTTCAAATGGTAGATGACAGCCTTAAGCATGGGAATGATTGCTTGCAATAATGTGACAATAGCAGAAGTCATATGCACATGGAAAACCTGTGCATCAGCTTTTACAGTACATTAGAAAGACCTTTTCTTTTGAAGTATGCCTCAGAAACACTCAATTCAAAGCACTACATTGTGCTCATCAGTGATTCCGTTATAATTTCAGGAGCGAAGTAAAATGCTTTTCAATAACAGACCAATCATTTAAATGACATCCTTTTCACCAATAGAAGTCCGAGTAACAGCACACAACATACATGGTTCCCTAGGAAAGGCTTAGGGAATTTAACTCTATTCGTTGACATAACATCTCGAATATTAAGCTAATGACCTGGACCAGGCACTTCCTTAAAAATAACCACCTCATTAAAAAAAGATTTCATAGCTTCAATATGAGAAATTCCACTCTGCCAAAGATGCCCAAAGGGAATTGCAAGTATGATCCTAGTGATGGCTACATTTACACATTTAGAAACTGTACCATCTACTCGCTCAAGAAGCACTAAGATGATTTCTGAACTCCTCTGAATTGATTCCAAATAAAGATACACAACCTTACCTCTTTAGGAATGGAAAGCAACCTATTTCTGTCCACATTAAAATTTGTCAGCTTCCGCAACTTTCCAATACTTCGTGGCAAATTCTGAAACAAAAACAGCCATTATGCAATATACCCAAAATCGAGCATTCACAATGTTATTCAAACATTAAAAAGAATTTTACAAGTTCATATTTCCTTCTCTACACAACACTAGAAGTATGATAAACTTTTATGAAAAAATAATTATGACTATAAATTTGATTACTTCCATTCAATCTTCAATACACATGTTCTTTTGGATATAAATACTTCATCTCCCTTGATGTTACAGTCATTATACCAGCAAGAGAATCATGAGTCATTGCTCATTGCCTCCTTAACTAAATACTTAGTAGTTCAAACCAACATTAAACTGGGCACTTGCTCTAAATTATGTGAATTATTTTACAATCAATCCCTTCTTCATCAAGAGTCAAGAAAAATTTATTGCAGTTGAATTGTGTAAATTTCTCAGATTTAATTTCAGTTCAAGTGGAATGCTATAATTGATTTTCACAGAAATGGAATATAAAACTAAGGATGTATTGCTGTTGTTGTATGTGAGCATTGCTGAGACCACATCGGGAGTACAATTTACAGTATGGGTCTTCTTACTCAAAAAAAATTAAATGCATTTAGAAGCAGTCCACAGAAGGTTCACTTGACTGATTACTGTGATGAAGGGATTATCTTATGTGGAAAGGTTGAACAGCCCAGGCCTATATCTATTGGAATTCAGGAGAATTAGAGGTGGCCCTACTGAAACATACAAATTTGAGAGAACTCAACAAAGTGGATGATAAAAGGATGTTTTAACAAATAAAGTGGAAGGAGAGTACTGTGGATCTTGCATCTGCTCCTAACTTGGAGATTTTTCTTGTAATTTTTCCAGTTTTTCTAGAGTAGGAGCAGAAAATTTCTCATTTAAAATTTATTTTTGGAACAAAAAAAAGGGATGTGAGAAAGGAGACACTGTATTACAGCAAGTTTGGGAAAGACCTGCCTATGTGGTTGTCAAGGTGTTGAAGGCTCTGGGGAGAGACGTTGCTTTTGTGCGCATGGAACTTGGAAGATTGAACTTTTCAACTAGTTTGTCGAGGGTTCATTACTAGTGGTTTAAATAACGATGCGTAGCAGTTCTTGGATCCATTATTTTTGTAAGGCTGAATCTAGAAACCCAAGGAATCGGCATACCTTTACTTAGAGCCAGAGAGTTGTGAGCCAACTGATAAGGGATCTGAGGTGGCTATTTTCAATTGCTGGGAGCTTAAGCTAAGGGCTGGATTTTAATAATTCAAATGTTTTGTTTTGTATGCTTAAAATTAAAAACTGAGGGTAAGGGAAGGGTGGTTGATCTTCTTCTTTTAAGTTTTATAATATAGAATATAGGCTTAAATTTCTCCCAACATTGTGTGTCAACTGCAATCAGTCTACAAACATTGGAACTGAAAAAGGTATGGGTCTTTTTAGGTAAGTCTACATTAGCAAAATGTGGCAGTCAATGCCCATCCTGTCAGATGTGGGAGATTAGGGAACTATTGATTGTCCTTGGAGACTATGTCTGCAGGTGGTGTGTTTGGATCTGTCTCATATCAGACCATTTAGATTGGCTGGAGAGGCAGTTGGAGTCAAAGAGGAGCATACAGGAGGCACAGAATGCAATGGTTAGTAGATTTAGAAAGGTGATCACACCACAGGACTGTCAGGAGAGATAGGAAGGTAGTGCAGGAGTCTCCTGCGGCTGTTCCTCTCTCAAACAGATACACTGTTTTGGGTACTGCTGGGTGGATAGTCTCTCAGAAGAAAACAGAAGTGGCAGCCACTTCTTGGACACCAAGAATGAATCTTCTGTTAAGTGGGGTTTGTCAAGGTTCAAAAGGGTAATCATTATAGGGGACTCTCCAGTGAGGGACACAGCTAACAATTATGCAGCTGTGAGCCAAAATTCAGGATGGCGTGTTGCCTCTCTGGTGCCAGGGTCAAGGATGTCTCAAAGCAGCTGCAGCATGTTGTCAAAGGGGAGAATGAAAAGCCTGAAGTTGTCGTACACGTTGGTAAGAATGGCATAGTTACGGACATGGTTGAAACTTTGCAGAGTGAATATAGGATGTTAGGTAGGAGGTTACAAAGCAGAACCTCAAAGGTTGTAGTCACGGGATTACTCCCGTGCTACTGAGAGTTGGAATAGAAGATGGCTTCTGAAGTTAAAGAGACCAAGTTAATTAGAAAAGGCAGATGAGAGTAAGCCAGAGAACAAGGTAACTATGAAGAATTAAACTGCATTTTTTGCCATACAGGAGGTCTTACAGGTAAGATAGATGAACGCAGGGCACGTAATGGAATATGGATCTGGAACATCATAGCTAGTACAGAAACATGGCCGAGGGAGGAACAGGGCTGGCAGCTCAATGTTCTGGGGTTTAGATGCTTTAGGAAAGATAGAAAGGAGGGCAAGACTGGAGGGGCATGGTATTTTTGATTAGGCAAAACATTATTGCTGCACTTCAGGAGGATATTTCTGAGGGATCAACCAGTGGAGTTATATGAGTGGAACTCAGAAAACAGGGGATGATCACCTTGATGGGGTTGTCAGATAGAAACTGAGGAACAAATATGCAGAGATCTCAGACATTTATAGAATAATAAGGTTGTAATAGAAGAGGTTTTGAACTTTCCAAACTTAAACTGCTGTAGTGTTAAGGGCTTGGGTGGTGTGGAATTTGTTAAATGTATTCAAGAAAATATTCTTTATCACAATGTAGATGTACCTACCAGAGAAAGAGCAAAACTTGACCTTCTCTTGGGAAAAAGGCAGGACAAGTTACTGAAGTGGAGGAGCACTTTGAGACCAGTAATCATAATTCTATTAGTTCTAAAATAGTTATGGAAAAGAATAGACCCTACATAAAAGTTAAAGTTCGTAAATCGAGTAAAGCAAATTTTCACAGTATGAGACAGCAACTTTCAAAAGTTGACTGGGGTAGGTTGTTCGTAGGAATAGGGACAACTTGCAAGTGGAAGGCTTTCAAAAGTGAGATAACAAGAGTTCACAGGCATTATGTTCCTGTTACAGTGAAGGGTAAGGCTGGTAAGAGTAGGGAACAATGGATAAATAAAGATATTAAAAAACCGGTCAAAAATAAGGAGGCACACATCAGGGTTTGACAACTGGGATCAAGTGAATTTCTTGATGAGTATAAGAGGTGTAGGGGTGCTCTTAAAAATCAGGAGGACAAAAGGGGATATGAGATAGCTTTGACAGATAATGTTAAGGAGAATTCAAAGAGATTTTACAAAGTACGCTAAGAGTAACTAGGAGAGAATAGGGACCCTTAAAGATAAACGAGGTTAACTGGGTGTGGAACTACCGGAGATGGAAGAGATACTAACTGAATATTTTGCATTAATTTTTGGTGAGGAGAATGACATGGAGGCTAGAAAACTTGGGGAAATAAATGCTGATGTTTTGAAAACAGTCCACATTACAGAAGAGGTAGTGCTGGAGGTCTTAAAAAAAAAATGGATAAATCTCCAGGACACTGTGGGAAGTTAGGGAAGAAATTGTGGGGCTCCAAGCAGAGATATTTGTATCATCTATAGCCCTGCCTGAGGTGCCAGAGAACTGGAGGGTGGCTAACATTGTGCCTTTATTTAAGAAAGGCTGTAAGGAGAAGGCTGGGAACTATAGACCAGTGAGTCTGACATCAGTGGCGGATAACATGTTGGAGGAGATTTTGAGAGATAGGATTTACATGCATTTGGAGAGGCAAGGACTACTGAGGGACAGTCACCATGACTTTACGCTTGGGAAATCATATCGGGGTGAGTTTTTCTGAGGACTGCACCAAAAAGATTAATGAGTGTAGCAGTAGACATTGTCTACATACACTTAAGAAAAGCCTTTGACAAGGTTCCTCACAAAAGACTTATTTCTAAAGTTAGATCACATGAGATTCAGGGAGAGCTTGTCAATTGGATACAAAATTAGTTTGACAGTAGGAGATAGAGGGTGGTGGTAGGGAGTTGTTTTCAAAATGGAGGCCTGAGGCCAGCATGTTCCACAAGAATCGGTGCTGGGTCCATTTATGCTTGTCATTTATACAAACGATTTGGATGAGAATTTAGGAGGCATGGCTAGTAAGTTTGCAGATGACACCAAAATTGATGGTATACATAGAACTGTACAGAACAGGAACAGGCCCTTTGCCCCACAACATTGTGCCGAACATGACGTCAAATTAAATTAATCCCTTCTGCCTGCCCTTGGTCCATATCCCTCCATTCCTTACACATTCATGTGCTTACCTAAAACACCTCTAACATACCTGCCTCCACCACCATCCCTGGCAGCACATTCCAGCCTCCTATCTGTGTAAAAAACTTGCCCCCACATCTCCTTTGAACTTTCCCCCTCTCACCTTAAATGCCTGCCCCCTAGTATTAGACATTTCAACACTGGGAAAAAGATTCTGACCATCAACCCTATCTTTGCATCTCATAATTTTAAGACTTCAATCAAGTCTCCCAGCAACATCCACTGGTCCAGAGAAAACAACCCAAGATTTTCTACTGGCTCTTTATAGCTCTAATCCAGCCAGCATCCTGGTAAACCACTTATGCACCCTCTCGAAACCCTCCACATCCTTCCTGTAATGTGGCAACCAGAACTGTACGCAATATTCTAACTGTGACCAAACCAAAGCATAGTCAACAGTGAAGGAGATTGCCGAAGATTACAAAGGGATGTTTAAATTGGATAAATGTGAGGTACTGCTTTTGGTAAAACAAACAAGAACAGTACTCATGCAGCTAATGGTAATGCACTGGGTCATGTTGTCAAACAGAGAAACCTAGGGGTTCAAGTACATAGTTCTTTGAAAGTTCCTGGTCACCCTGCTACAGGAAAGATATTATTAAATTGGAGAGGGTTCAGAAGAGATTTACCAGGATGTTGCCAGGAAGAGAGGATTTCAGTTATAGGGAGAGGGTGCATAGGCTGGGACTTCTTTCACCTCCTTAGGGTAACCTAATAGAGGTTTATAAAATCATGAGGGGGTATAGAT